AGTGGTTAGCATGCCCGTTGCCATCATTATTTGGTTAAGAGTAGCCCTATAGACGGCGAACGCTGCTGATTGACTGGTCTTCATCTGGTCAGTAGTTATATATTAGGGATGACTATGCTTGTAATTTGGGGGTTTTTTAGCCTGGTCGTTTAGCCTTCGTTTCGCATAATGTTAAAAATACCAACTTCCTAAAAGTACAAATCTTACTTCGTGAAAAGTTTATCAATTATCATGAAAATGTTATTTAAATATAATACAAATCAACAGCTCGTGTATGTTTTTTTTACTCGCATTGATACATTCAGTTAATAACAAATGCTATTGTAATGATATTTGGTTTAATTTGACTTTTTTTATGGATTTTTCCTAAACTATACAATAAGTGACCTTAACAAACTAAACACTAATCCTGTAGTGTTTTTTTAAGTTAAAATATTTTTATAAAATATATAAACTCATAAAAAAAACCGTTGTTCTAACGTTGTTCCATAACGAATCCACTGACCCCATCTTCGGTGGCTCATATAAACATTCGGAGTTCAGTTTCTGCGGTCAGCACGTAGCAGATAACACAATGTGCAGCTTTTCGCTGAAACAAGCAAACTGAATGCAAGCCATTTAGTAGCAGACAGGTTAGAGACAACTGAAATATGTCTATTGTTCTAATTGTTTGTACAGAAGCGCGCACGACCAGTAATCTAGATACGTTTTGTACAGAAGCGCGCACGACCAGTAATCTAGATACGTTTTGTACATAAGCGCGCACGACCAGTAACCTAGATATGTTTTGTACAGAAGCGCGCACGACCAGTAATCGAGATACGTTTGCAAAGAAACGCGCACGGCCAATAACCTAGATACGTAAATTTTTCTTTACACCCAGACTGAAAATTGAGAGATTAAATCTTGAGAAGTTCATATATTCGCAGCTAAAGATTAACTATAAATAACTGTTTGTAAGGTAATTGTCAACGCAGCTACTGACCCCCTTAAAAAACATCTATTTCCGATGGTCCTCTAAAACACGCCCACAGTTTAACATGTGAATGGGTATATCACTGTTATACTAATTATTCATCAACAATTGGAATTAATCAGTCCAACAAGGTGTAATTTCTATTCCTAGATCGGATGTTATTTTAGAAATCAGTGGTGATATTATGAAGTTGAATGTTTACAAATATCGGATCTTGATAACTAAACTATTACCCAGGGACGAACATTAACATTGTTTTGTGTGTTTGTTTTCGTGAAACAATATTATAGTACCACATAAACCAACAATGTTTCCCCGTGAACTGGAGGTCTATAAGTCTATTGATATTGTTTTGTGTGTTTGTTTTCGTGAAACGACGGACTAGTGGCTTGTGAGTAATGATTGAAATATTATAGTACCACATAAACCAACAATGTTTCCCCGTGAACTGGAGGTCTATAAGTCTATTAATATTGTTTTGTGTGTTTATTTTCGTGAAACGGTGGACTAGTGGCTTGTGAGTAATGGTTGAATTATCATAGTACGACATAAACCAACGAGGTTTCCCTGTGAACTAGCGGTCTATAAGTCTATTGATATTGTATACTGTTTCGGGTATTTGTTTTCGTGAAACGGTGGACGTAAGTCTTGTGGGTTATAGTTGAAATATTACATAAACCAACAATGTTTCTCTGTGAACTAGCGGTCTATAAGTCTCGTGGCTATAGATAACAGAAGTTTCTCAATTGATCAATATGGTGAAAATCTTTCGCTTGGTCAACAACAAAAGTTTTCTTTCTGTGTATCAAATGCTATCTGACTAGAAAAACAAAACAAAAAACAGTGAATACAAATGTTATTTTTCTCTATGTTGCAGCTGCTTGTGTGTGAGAGCGACAAGCCCATAGCCGACGATGATTTTCGAGCCAACTCTGTACCTACTGGGCCCGGCATGGTCAGGTGGTTATGGCGCTCGACTCGCAATCTGCGGGTCGCGGGTTCGAATCTCACCAAACATGCTAGCCCTTTCAGCCGTGGGGGCATTATAATGTGACGGTCAATCCCACTATTCGTTGGTAAAAGAGTAGCCCAAGAGTTGGCGGTGGGTGGTGATGACTAGCTGACTTCCCTCTAGTCTTACACTGCTAAATTAGGGACGGCTAGCGCAGATAGCCCTCGTGTAGTTTTGCGCGAAATTCAAAAACAAACTGTGCCTACAACAAAAGTTCTTTTCTGAAGCTATATATATATATACCATTCTCTTGAGATTTACTTATGTCCTATTTTACTTTGTTGTCTTCGGACTTTTGAAATTTTGTGTTGATTTTCACACCTCTTTCGACTTTCAATCATATTTTTTTTTCGTGAACTAAATCGTTTTCTCTGTAGTTTTCTCGCTTGCGTTTTGCAGAAAGTTCAAATTACGTTTGTTTCTTTTTTAGTGCTGCAGTGTGAGACTTATCAAGAACAAAAGTATTATTTAATTATTTCTGTAAACTGTACTTTTAAGACAAGTAAATGTTTTACAGTAAAACGTTTTATCTTCCAATCGTTAAATATAGAGGTAGATCAACAATGGTAGGAGGCGACGCTAATATTTTCATCATTGTTCTTCAATAAATAGATAAACGTGAGTGATTGGTCAACGACCTTTGAACGCTACTTCTGATTGGACAAATTTTTCATATGTATTATTTGTTTGCTTTTTTTTTCTCTTTCAGTTCAATAGGAAAGATGTGTTTTTCGAACAACCAAGAAATTAACACAGTACAATACATCGTTGTTGTGATACGTTCGACCACCATTTGAGCGAATAACATTTATTATTTGTCTAATCTCTATGGCTAGCTGTCTTCGTCAATGGTCTTGTCTTGGAAGTGAAGAATACTGTGTTAATTAGAATTTCAAAAATCAAATAACCTGACTAACCTAATGCTAATGTTACAATAACAGTTGTGTGCATGTCGGTTTAAAGAAACGGAACTGTTAAAGGCCTCATAAACTAATTGACAAGAAATACTTTACCTACATATATTAGTGGGCAAGGGTGGGAGGGGAACATGTCCCCTCACTTTTCACCAATGGGGGATTGCCCCATGTTAGTATATGTCTTTATAATAATGATATAAATCTCACTGATAAAACAACAGTTTCTCAATGAGATCATAATTTATATTATATATAATTATTAGCTCTCCATTCCAGTTGCTATAATTTAGATTATTCAGAATTCTAACTTCGTTTCTGTCTCGTCTTACGAACGTCATTAGTGTACGTTAGTCGACCAGAACATTAAAAAATATCACATATTTGCTGTTTCAAAAGTGATGTTTGGTGTGTAATATGGACAACTTTATATGATTATTTGGAAAATTATCTTTAATCCTAATAGTCAAAGCTTATTTACTAAAAATGTGAAATTAAAAGGGCATATTTAAGTTTTTATTTTTATTTACAAAGATGACTAAGAACTATGTAGAGCAACGTTGTTTTAAATTCTTTACAAAACAGTTGCTAATTAAATCAGAATTTCTCTCTATGCAGCGTTCAGAAATACAGTTAGTTTAGTTAGATGAAACTACTGAGTTTCTCTATATATATTTAAAGAATTCACATTCTTTGTTAACCTTCGCGTGCAACGTTCAGAAATAGATGTAATTTAGTTAAATGAAACCAAAGCTTATGTATTTGGTAAGATTGGATTCTTCCTTAACTCTGGCATTCTTCATTTTGAAGGCTACTTACGAAAGTGCAAGATGAATCAATGTATGTTATGTTGATTTATTTGTTCGTACAGGAGGATGTATGGCTAAGAAATAGCGACTATATATATTGCTATAGTTTAAGCTATAATATTGTCCGTGTTAAAGCTAACTAGTTTATTTTTAACGCTCATATAAATGTGTAACTAATTAGGTTAATGTAAGTTAAATGACTCAAGTTAGGTCAATAAATCCAAGACGAAACTATCAAATTAACAAGTAAGAAGTAAATATAGATTATTAATAAAATTAATTACTTAAATTAGATAAGGAACACAAATTGTAATTGGTAAGTTAAATCAGCTGAAATTAGATCCGACGACTCAAACTGGGCTCTTTGTATTAACCTAATAAACGTAAGTTATTAACGAACAAAATGAGTTTTTATCATTTAGCTGAAACCCGTGGGTTCTTTGTCTTATCCTAGAATATTTAAACCAATGCTGCTGTGATTCCTTTTGATTTGTTTGTTTTGTAATTTCGTGCAAAGCTACACGAAGG